CCGGACCCAGGAGCCGGGGCGCCGCTGCCCTGGCGCGCGCACGGTCTGGGACAGGAGAGGAGAGAGACAGTGCATCGTGGAGGCTCTGCCGCAGAGCAGGCAGGTGGATCGAGGGTTCGACGGTGGAGAAATGCCCCAAGTGCAAGCAGCCTCTGTGGCTGGGGGGGTGGAGACCGGAGGGCCTGGGGCCAGAGGGTGACCGGATTGAGGACCCTGAGGCCGGGGGACTGCGGCAGGGGGCGGAGTAGATGGGGGCTTGGAAGAACTCGAAAGCTTGGCTCTGCCGCAGGGAACTGAGCGCCCCCAAGCCCCACCGAGAGGACTTGTAGCCCAAGCAACGCCCCACGCTGACACACCCCTTCCCCGGCCATCCCACCTGCGAGGCCCACGTGCCGCCCGGGCTACCAGCGTCCGGAGCCCCCGCCACATGGATTCCTAGCAGCGACGGCCCGCCTGCCCAGCCCAGAGGTTGCGAGTCCGGACAGGAGGCCCGCCCACTCCGCAGCTGGATGGTCACGTGCTCAAGGATTCGCGGCTGCCATTGGGCCCCTCAAAAGACGAACCGGCCAACCCACTGACGATCTGCTTTTCTATTGGCTGGTGCCTGGGAAAGAGGCAGGGCCTGCACGTGGGGTTGCAGCGAAATCGTTTCCCCTGGCAACATTAGACTGAATTTTTAAGATCCTAGAGCTGCGGGCATCCGAAATGCCGGAAAGGAGGGGTGGGAGGAACGCGGGCGCTGAGCGGTAGGAATTACAGAGGTGAGAGTTCGAGTCCCGTTTCTCTCTCAAGCTACTCCGTAGCATTAGGTGAAGCAAGAGCATTTCAGAGGCCCAGGGGGACAGTTCCGGCGCTGGGCAAATCTTCTGGGAAGATGCCCACTCGTTTTCCCGGGGCTCTCCAGGTTTGCATCCCTTCCCGGCTTTCTCTCCCGCCGCTCCCTCGGCCTCCAATATCCTTCCTCAATTGCCAAATTCATCCTCGGGGCCTGGCTCCAAGGCCGCCTCCCGGAACCCCCAGCACAGCCCTCTCTACCCCTGGCCCGACCTGCTCCTGCAGAGCTGAATGTCGTCTGCCTCGGGACCCCCGGCCCTTCCTCCCCCATCGAAAGCCAGAAACGTGAGTCTCGCGATTACTTTCAGGTTAACTTAGGAGAACGTGGGATCGTAGCAGAAGGAAGAGCTGACGGTGGAATTCCTGGCACTGGCTGGGCGGGGTCTCGGGGACGCTTTCTCATGGCCAATTCTTCGGTTCTTGGATGGAGCGGGCGGGCAGAGCACCTGCATTTGGGAAAGAATCGGTCGGAAAGGCTAGAGTTCTCTTTTCTCCCACGCCCCGCCCTGCTCAACTTTCAACTTTGTAGAAAAGGGACTAACAATGCATTCGCTGTCTCTGAGCTGCTCCACCTGTCACAAGTATACATCAAGCGTCTACTGTGTGCATTCTGAGACCCAGAACGGGCACCTGCCTTCGCTGGGCTCTCTCTAAGGGAGGAGGCAACTCAGGATGGGCAGGAGTCTGGGTGCCAGACACAATACAGGACGCCCAGTTAAATGTGAATTCCAGATAAACAATGAATAATGCTGTGTCCCATGTCATATTTGGGACCTACTAAAGATTTATTCGTTTATCTGAAACTCACATTTGTAAAAAGTAATATAAACTGCTCTGGCCTGGTAACCCAGTTGGTTGGAGCCTTGCCCCCCTAGTCCAAGGTTGTGGGTTTTATCCCTGGTCAGCTCATATACAAGAAGCCACCAATGAACGCATAAATGAGTGGAACAGCAAATGGATGTTCCTTCCTCTCTCTCTCATCAATTAAAAAAAAAAAGTAATATAAACGGAGTCACTTTAAAATGGAGCAGAAAAAAAGAAAGAAAACAAACAAAAATTTAAAAAAATTTAAACTAAAACAAACAAAAAGACAAAAGCCCGGCTGGTGTTGCTCAGCGGCTGAGTGCTAACCTATGAACCAGGAGGTCCCGGGCAGGGCACATCCCCGCGGTGCAGGTTGGATTCCCATAGGGGGCGTGCAGGAGACAGGAGACCGCTGATGGATGATTCTCTCTTATCACTGATGTTTCTCTCCCTTTCCCTTCCTCTCTGAAATCAATAATAATAAAAAAATATTTTTAAAAGAGAGAAAAATAAATAAAATGGAGCAGAAGCCGCCATCCCAAAGGAACTGCTTTACATGTCTTATGCCTCAAACCTTTGGACTGGGTCTAAGCAAACGTATTTTCTGAAGAACTATTTGCAAAGATAAGAAAGGTATTATGACTACCGGACTGCAATTTTAAAACATTGTTTAGAGTTAACATCACTGTTATCTGCACCAATAGAAACGCCTTCCTGCTGACGATGTAATTGTTCGCCTTCTCTTTCTCATCAATACCCACTGCCTTCGTCTCCTAATTGCAACACTGTTTGGACTTCTGCCCTAATCAGCCCATCCCAAATAGCTATTCTTATTGATCCCAAATAAATGCTTTTTGCTTCTCACTTTAAAAGGCCTTTTATTTTTTAGGAAAACATATCTAACTAACTGGGAGGACTGTGTTTTTATTTGCTAAACTGGCAACTCGATCCAGTCCTTCCCCAGACGGTTACATCCTGATGGATGCGCGCGTGGATTGAAGGAAGAGGGGGTGAAGGACGTCCTGGGCGGTGTTCTAGGGCAGGGCTAAGGGCTGAGACAGGACCTGCTATAATTATTCACATTCCTGCTGTGGTCGTTGTTATTGTTACCCGGAATCTCCCCGGACCAGGCCTCCCCCGCTTAATGTATTGTTCTAGTTCAATCACTGGCATCTCAGATTCCAAACGCGCCTCTTCGGATGGGGAAACTCAGGAGGCGAATCCGGAGCGGGCGAAGACGAGACCCAGAATCTGGAGCGGGCGGGGACGAGACCCAGAATCTGGAGCGGGCGGGGACAAGAAGGGGAATGCACCTTCGGTGCGGTGCGGGCGGGAACGAGCACCAGAGCGTGAGGTGGGCGGGCGAGAACGAAACCTAGAAAACAACTAGGGCGGAATTGAGGATCCGAGAGCGACGTGCGCGGGGCCGAGCAGGAGAGGCCAGGCTCGGCGCGGGCGGGG